GGAATGAAGAGACTGCACCTGTTGGCCCTTCCAATGCCGCACCAGTCCCGTCGCGCAAACGATCGACAGACTCTGCTGGTCTACCCGAAACCGCAGAGGGTGGAAGGTCACGCAGTAAACGCATTCGGGGTCGAGAGTCAATACTTGAACCGACAATTGGCAATGCAGCTCAAGAGGCTAGTAAACAGCTTGATACACAACTCGAACAGTACACATACGCAGATTCATGCCTCTATGAAATCCTCAAGGATATGTATGCGAAGCTCGGTGTTGAGGGAATGAAGGACCCGGATGAGCTGCGTAAGCTGGTCATGGCGCTCCCTGACGCGACTGCTACAGATTCCATTGACAAGGCCGCTTGCGATTTCTTCACGGGACTACGGAGCGGGCACGTCAAAACTGCACAAATCCTTCTCAGTTCCGAGTCTTTCGATCTCCTCGGTGCGACTAGGGAACACGGGCTCAATGCGTTTCTGGGTTTTTCCAAGTCAAGTTCGAGTCAAGCTTCCAATAAACCTTTGCTGGAAAATCAAGGCTTGAACGCGTTCGCAAGGTCTGTCAACAACGGTTGGCTTTCGATTGAAGAAGTCGCATTTGGCTGGATTGAATCTCTGTTTACTCCAGGTTACTGCTCCACGACAGGAACTCAACCGAGTGATCAGTCAAGCTACCTGCAGTTTAGGTGGGCGGAAGATCTCAAGCGAAACGTTGTACAAGTCATTGTTCGTATCGACGAGTTCATATACGAGCGCATGGCCGAACGCGTTGACAGCCTCAATCGGCGGATACTGGACGCTACACATCGGTCTCAAGCTTATGAGCTCTCCGCCTTCGACAAGGCGCAGATAGAGATAGTGGAGGCATTGTTCGAGCTGCATCTCGATGTCTACTCTCTTATCAAGCATCCGCAAAGTGTAGTAGACGCCAGCACTCAAATCCTCCAGAGTGACCGTCTCGAAAGATGGGCTTTGCTCGCGCGGGAGGCTTTACAACTTCGATCGGACTGCAGACCAGGTCAGGGCATTGACGATCTAGGTTTGCGCCATATCTGGGCGACAGTCTTTCAAATGAGTGTCAACGACGAGGTGTTGCCGGAACATGTATTATTTGCCATGGCACAGTTGAAAGATATGTTTGAGCCTTTCGGCGATCACACGATTCAGATACAGAACAACGCCGTCATGCCGGAACTTTCAGTCGCCGCTATTGATCAAGAGCTCGTGCGCATTAGTATGAAGGACTTCTTTCTCAAGGTCTTTGACCAAGAGGAACAGGACCCAGTGACGGTTATCGAAAGCCTGGAGCCGATACTGGAGCTTGCGAACACAAAGGAGCCTAGTAGCTCCCCGAAGCCGGACGGCTTAGAACATGACGGTGTTGATACACACAGCTCACCTACTGTAAGCACTGGCTCAGAACAGCAGCTCGATCGCGCCTCGCCCGTTCTGGAAATGCGGAAATTCCTCGACTCTGCGAATGTCAACGTCCGACTCTCCCTCTGGAATAGGTTGCGTGTGGCATATGAAGCCATCGATTATCCTTCAAAGGTCTTGTCATGCTTCCTTAGAAGTATTGAGGCCCTTGTGGCAGATCTCAGATCTACAAACTTCCAGGAACTTCCATTACTAGACCGTCAACACAAGCTCCTAACCCGATACCGGGTTATCGATGACATGGTCGTCAAGATAATCCGCATCATCCGAGATGACGAAGCGCCATTTGCCTGCCTCTCATATGAGCATGTCCAATCGTCCATGTCCGCCATCGCAGAACTGCTACATATTATATCAGCAGCAGACATGCTCCGAGATCTGATTCGTGTCAATCACATCGCCGTGCCTCGAGTAGAATCTCAGCCAAATGCAGCGTTCGCCAATATGATGTCAAGACTCGACGACATACATCTACGACTCTGGATTCTGCAGTACCATCTGTTCAAAGACGGCATGTCCCAAGATTCAGAGGCTTTCCCTACTCCTTCTGACGATTTGTTCGATTTCATCCGCCATGTGCATCATGCGACTGGTGTACGTGGCTTCTGTCACCTTTCAAACCGTCAATTCTTAAGGCTTGCAAAGGACGAGCTACTTCGCATGGATGACATCGTTGATGGTCCCAGCCACGCCACCGAGCTCTGCCAGGTACTTCACGACATGTACGGATTGAAGCTTTTCGTCGAGCCTCTGGACTGTCAGAGCTTTCAAACTACGCCAGACGTCCTTGATAAAAAGACTGCCTTCAGCATCTTACCTTTCGCAATGTCGCAAGCTGCTAAGGTCGATCTCAAGGACCTACCAAAGACCGAGCTCAAAGGTACCATCGAGAAAGTACATGCTGCTCTTGGTCGGCCTAAACAGAACGAGGATATCACCTTTAACCGAAAAGTCATTTCCACTTACTTCAAATCGCCCGTCAATCCAGTGGCACTATTCGGGTGTCTGAAAGGCGTTGGTTCACTCGCCACGAAACACATTCCTGCTGACGAAGCTGTGGCTGCATCGAAGGGCTGGTACTATATGATGGGAAACATCGCGCTGAGCAAATTCCGATCGCAGAAACGTATGACTCAAGGACCGACAGAAGACCTTAACTACGCCCAGGCATTCTTTGTGCAGGACCTGGAGCACTCCATTGAACGGTGGGAGACCTGGTATCGGCTTGCCCAAGCCAACGACACGCAGCTTGAAGAGGCTGTATCTTGGAACGCAGACAAGATGAACAGCAATAGTGCCGAGGTGGTTAATTTCCAGCGTGCTGCAATCAATTGCTACATAATGGCTGTAGCCTGCGCTACCCGCGATGCTAACATCACGCCGATCGATCAAACCAAGATCGCACAGATGTACACCGAGTTTGGGAACCGCATGTACGCCTCATCCAGAGAACCATTTGGCATGGAAGCATTCCAGATCCGGGAAAGTGAAAAACGATTCTGCAACCTACAAACGAACGCATCCCTATACAAAGAGGTCGTATTTGCCCCACTGCATGCCTACACTGCTTGGAAATTCGCAAGCACTCTCTACAAGAGAGCCATCAAAGGCAATCCGAACAAGTGGTGGAACCACTTCATGCTTGGAAAGTGTGGTTGGAAGATGTGGGCAGCAAATGATGGTGCGACGCAATATGCCAAGTCAATAGGGGCACCACTACCCCTTCCGCGCGGTCCTTCCTGGGAGTCAGTCGTGGACGCATTCATCAGCGCCATCGAAACACTGCCAGGAAAGAAGGGGCGCAGCGGCGAGCCAGTCCTGGAGCCGCATTACAAGCTCGTTTCCGTCACACACAAACTATTCCTGCGAGGAGCCATCGACCACGAGAAAGGAGCGGAGATCCTCGCGAACACTTCCTACACGCAGAACGTCAAAGCTCCGGAAAACAACGGTGACTGGCAGCGATACGTACTCGCGGTATTGAAAGCATTGCGAGCGGCCGACAAGTCAAGTTGGCACCATCGCATCATATCCCGTGTGGCCTATACTCTCTATGACAACGGCAGAGATCCAGTATCGGCCAATGAGGCTAAACATGAGCTTACGCAGCAAATGTTTACCAAGACCATGGCTGTACAAGTTTGGAAACCTGAGAATGAGCGACCCGGCCGACATTTTGTCTACACTACACGGTATACCAAGTTCTTTATTGAACTCTTGGATCTCACTGGAGACAAGACTAACTTTGAGGCGCTTGCTAAGCGTGTACGACGCAAGCAGACCGACTTCTTCGAACACCAGAAATTGTGGCAAGACTTATGTCTACGGTACATCAAAATGCTGCGAAAGATGGGCAACGTGCTTGAGGGACAGGAAGACTCTGCCTTCAAATCCGTCAACCACGATGAGTTCAATACGTTGGCTCTTCGCTTGGAAGCGTGGTGTCAGAACCCAGAGACCCAGCATCCCGTTCTAGATGTTCTCCGTGATGCCATTGAACTCAAGCGTCTGAACAACGGCATGATGAAGCCTCTTCTCATCGACGACCTGATTGGCGATGCATACGCAATGCTGTACACTTCAATTGGGCCTTCGCTACCGCCCTTGCAATCGGAGCAACAACCACAGCAGCCCTTGCAGCCTGCACCGCCTCGACCATCGCCTTTCGGTATAACCGCAACAGCTGCAGGTGCTGTACCTATCTCCTCGTTGATGCAGGTTCAGGTCGATGGACCTGCTGACGGAAGTTCCGGTACGCCATTTAACATGTATCACCCCAACCAGCTTCAGCCGCAGCACCCACCGTCAATGCCGCAAATGCCCTCGCAGCCTGAGCAACCCGCAAAGCCAAGAGCCAAGGCAGTGGGTCGTAGGGAGATCGCTCGTCGAGCCGAAGCATGTGTACAAAAGATCGCAGGTACGGCGACTCAGCCAACATCGATGCCAATCCGATCGCCTCCACCCAGCGAAGCAGCGCTTCCCTCTATCGTCGGACAAGCCGCCTCACCCGAAGCCGTCGCGCAACCAGCACCTGGACCAGGCACATCCACCGAACATTTACATCCTTCCTTCGACAAGAGCGGAACAGCAACCGCATCTGCCAGTATAAACAACGACGAGCCCGAACGCAGCGCACCCGCTTCCATACACGACGACGCAGACGACGAGAGCGAGCTTAGCGAGCTAGACGAAGAAGAGGTGGAAGAGATTCATCAGGAAGTTCAGAACGATAATCTGCGTAGATCGGTATCTATTGCAGGAAAGCCTCTCTTTCCCAACTTGGCGGCTAATCGAGTTAGTCCCGAAGGAAAAAGGAATGAGACGGCTGCTGGAGATGATGCGGCAGATGACGATGGCGATGTTATTCACGTTATGTCGAGGAAGGAGGATGGGGATGTTATGCATGTCAGTGCTAAGAAGGATGAGGATGCGATGGATGTTGATGGTGAGAAGAAGTAGGGGTTCACAGTTGTGGTTCAATGGCGTATGAGAGGATGTTTTTTGCTGGATTGTGTACTACTATAGAATAAGTGTGTCTCATGGCGTTGCTATGAAGGATCGCCGACGATGGAGTCGGAGTAGGTTTGTTTTCTAGATACCCATCATATAGGGCTGTATATATAACCTGTATGTCAGGAGCTTGAAGTAACATTATCCGTGGGTATGTCTTTCCGAGGCTCGACGTCATTTGGGTTATTCACTTTCTTCATCCTCAGCTGGGGTTATCATTGGCTCAGATGTCACGCCTCCACACTTCTTTCCCTTTTGCGACCGCAACGCATTGGTTAGGCAGCAAACACAGACAAGCTAGGGTCGTGTATGTTGAGGGTTATTTGCTCCGTTGGAAAATTACCATCGCTCATTCCAAGGTATACAATCTTACGCACCAACCCCAAACACGAACGAAAGACGAAGTTCCGCATCCCTCCTTCCAGCCCCAATCGTCCCTCCAAAGACGAGAGCCCCGGCACCTCCTTCGAGAACCCGCTAGTTGACTTCCGCGCCCAACTCGACTTGACCGCCACGCGCTACTACGCTTTGGATCCGACCAACGGTATCATAAAGACAACCGAGGCGGGCGTACCCAAGTTCTACCGGGGCAATGTCGCAATCCTTAACAGTGATGGGATGCGCATGCATGTCTCCTATGATCCAGGTCGCAACACCTACACTATCGTCATCAGGTATCCTGAGCAAGCTAAAGACGTTTTGTCCCGCCTGAACGATCCGCATTGGGAGTTTATCGACGTTGACACGGCCTTGGAGGAGGCAGAAGATGATGATACTATCCACTACGGTAAGACTATAAATTGATAAGCATGTAGCAGATTTGCTGACCGCATGTGAAAGATGTCGACATCAAGTACTTCAAGCGTCGCAGGAGTTCCTACCTAGATGATCTCGACAAAGGTCTATACGATGGTCTTTCCGACAATGAGAAAGCTCTTCCTGCTTCTGGTTCTGGAGTCGCTGCTTCCTAGACCGGGCTGGATTCTTCCCGTAGGTCAGGATAGATTTTCACATTGACCTGGTGCCGACCGCTATTAGGCCACTGGGGTCAGGATTAGTTTGCTTCTAGACACCAATGAGATAGGCCTGGACAAATAACATGTAGATCAACGTGCAACAACAACCGAGTACCTGCGCGTCTGCCGAGTACGGTCAGTGAATAGTGTCAATCTGACGGAAGGCACGTACGCGGAAGTTGATGTCCCCGATACGTGATGACATCACACTCCTGCTTCTCGTCGCGTTCCTTATGCTCTCTTTGGGTATCGCGCCTTCCTCGATAAGTCACGGGCTCACTCGGTTCACGAACGCAATTGCCCGTTTCCATAGCGTTTGACGTTGATTTGCCTGCCGCCTAGCAATCTGAGTGTCTTCCGTCCACAACACACGACCACAAGCAGCAAACGCAATCGCTCGTTCGAGTTATAAGATCTCTCCTTTCCAACGCTGTTTCGAACACACAATAGAATCACTGGATCCTCTGACTACCCCGACGACAATGCGCTCCTTCACTACTGTAGAAGCTTTCTCACTTTCGCGGTGAGGGGCGGCTATGGGAGGTCACCTGGACTTTGAGTAAAGGTCAAGGTGATTGCTGAGGAGAACCGCCTTCGTTGTATAAGTAGGTGGTTTCGAGCGGGTTTATGGTTCCTTCTTTCTATACACCACTGCTACAAGAAGAGATATCACCGTGGTACACTTCAACTCCTAGTAAGTTTCCTTGGAGATACTGGCTATGCTTACTCTGCTAATTATGCCACAGAAGCTATATATACCACGATCAAACTTTCCAACTCAACTCAAAGAAGATATGTCCGCCGCTGCTGGATCCTCTCCACCTCCTCCGCCCCCTAGCGGCAATCCCAACAAGAACACTGGCCATGGATCTTCTTCGTACCCCAACCTCAAGATCCCTCTCTCAGGAGACGGAAGCACTCCCCAGAAGGCTGCCTGGACAAGCATCATGTTCCAACCCCCTGGTATCACCAAGAACTACGTCGTCGACGGCGTTGGCCTCTTCCCTCGTTACCGGCGCACCCGTGTCGAGGAAGCGCGTGACTACGCGCGTCTGGCGTACACGATCCTCGACGGCGAGACCTATGCTGTTGTCCCCGAGGCTCAAATCCCTCCCGGCCCCCTCGGTAACCCGTCAATGCCATCCGCTGCGGGTATCGTAGCTCAGATGCAAGAGATTGTCGCGCACGAGAACGCACTTGCGACTGGTTTGGGGCCAGCAACTGATGCTTATAACGCGCTCCAGGTTCACCGTGGGTCTCATGTATCCCTCTCGCGTCATCATGGCTAACACTGTGTAGACGGCGACGCCTTTGTAGACGACAACGTCAACACGGGCAACTCATCGGAAGACGCTGCTGGTAAGTCGATTCAATGATATACCAGACGAAGTCGTACTAATCATTTGTCAGAATCGTCTTCAGATACATCTGGCGACCGCTCGGCTGGTGCCTCTTTTACAAACTGAGACCCAGCTCTCGGATCTGTGCTTTCACTTCGGAGCGAGATCCTGAGAGCCTTTCTATAACACTTTTCATTACCATCGTTCTGGACTCGATGGATTTAAACAGACTAGAGTACTCTTCATTTCCTCTCTTTTGATGGTAGACACTGCAACCATGCGACAGCGAATGACAAGGAACTCATCAAGGAGAGATTGTGCGCGCTGGGTACATCCGACTGGAAAGAGTGGGCAAGTAGATGCAACGGAGCCTGCTTCAATGGCGTCACGGCGTTGGTAGATACCCCTTTGATAGAAGAGAACAACATAGGAGATATAAAGCCGAACTCGGTCTTCACACTGCATCTAAATGAAACTACCACTTGCGAAAAGCGACATGATAGCTCTAGGTTTCCCCTCATTCAATCTGACCAACATGTGGCGCGCTAGCAAGAGAAGATAGAGGTTGTGCTATATGTCGTTAATTCATTTTGTAAACCCACCAGCGCTTCGACATGTCCTATACACCTACTGCGGTACCTTACTGCCCGCCTTGCTTTATCGTTGGCGTTCTCGCTTTCCGCAGGTCTTGGCCTGTTACTACTCTCACACACATGCATCGATCCCGTCAAATCACGCATGTATTTAGTAGCTGTACAGACTTGTAGAAACTTATGTAGTGGCTAGAGACATCTAGTAAGCGTGCATCGGCGTCTCTGACTTTTGTCTTCTTATTATGAGCAAAGACGGTGTATATCCAGAAGAGGAGCCGCGCGCATCTCTATCGTAGCACTCGCGTAGCACATTCTCTTGAGTACATCCGCACACAAGGGCAAAAACATCTTGCTTACTCTGCACCTCTGCAGCTGTGCTTAGGACTTACACATAGCCAAAAAAGAATGTGTGTAGCCTAATTTTACATAGCTATGATGAGAGAAAGCGCAAAAAAAGATTGTCGCAATTAATTGGCGGTACTGGGAACTGTAGACATGTTAGGAATGTCTCAGGACCACCAATGAGGGAATGAACGTACTCGAACCCAGGCTGGCGCGGATCTGGATCGGGACACTAGGTGTCCGCCAGCCACAACGCGACGTCATACCACTAGACCATACCACGACAGGGCTGTTAGTACGGTGATACGGGAGAGAGGCTTGGACAGCTGCTTACCCGAAGTGATTCGTTTTGATGGAGAAACGACAAAAAATAACGTAAATATAGATAGTATAATTGCTTGTGTGCGTCCATCATCACTTATGCAGCTAAGTCCCCAATAAGCATGTGAATCAGAGTTCTGACAGCAAAATTTGGATGCGATGGCGGGGTCAAAAGGTCTGTGCTCTTCGCTAATGGCGGGGCTGGATTTCCTGGTCGCGTCCTAGTTGCTCTTTCTTCACCCAGTCAGTCACAACAGCAACACACCTAAGTGCTCGAATGTCCATAGGTATGTGATTTGAAGTGCTCTACAGGCCCAGCTACGCGTTAAAAGAACGCGATACTCCAGCTTCAGCGTGGGTTCATCGATATCTAAGATGGCTGGAGCTCTACATGACGAAGGCCGCTTGGAGCTAGTGCTGCATTTGGCGATTTTAACTGCATCTTCGACGAGGGTGGACACCACTAACGCTCGCATCAGAGCACCCATCACCTCGGCAGTCGCGAGGCAAGCCGCGCAAATCCTATCGCGTCGAGGATGAATACTCGTTTCTCGATGAAGACGAGGATGGCACTGCGCCCTCCGGCAAACAGACACCATCCTTCCAAAACGGCGATGATGACGACGGTGATGACTTCATGCCGGATGCCCAGGAGGAGGAGGTCGAATACGAAGAAGAAGACGAAGTGGTAGAGGAGGAAGAGGACTCATCTGAAGAGCAGGCCAATTCCGACGAAAGTCCTGCACCAACTCCAAAACGCAATGCACGCAATGCGCGAGCACCGCAAGCCGTCCCTGCCACCCCAGACGTCCCTCCGAAACGAAGGTACAATGATCCCCGCTACAAGGACATGGCAGACAACATACCGTCACCAGTCATATTCAAGAAAGGAGGTGGCATCAAAGTAAGGGTTGTCGATACGGACACCCAATTACGGACGCGAGGTATCCCTGATTTCGACAAGATTGGTGGTCATGAGCCGCGGCTGAAGAACCTGTTTGGTCCAGATGTACATCATCTGAGACCAGTACTCGAATCGAGGGACTATTGGTTTCCACAAGAAACCTTTCCTATTCGGAGTTATAAGAAGAATAAACCTGATGATGCTGAGGTGGGTAGCTTGAGAAGGAGCTTCTTCGAGGCCGATGGCGCAAGGGAGAAAGAGAATGAACTCTTGAGGACGTGGTATGCCAATACTGGAAGCCATGCTTTTGCAAAAGCGCAGACAACGAATAAATTGACCGCGGACGAGGCGAAACAGTACATGATAACCCCAGGATCGGACACCATGAACGTACTGGCTGGTCCGGTGAACACTCCCCAAGTCAACACGCTGGCAAAAGGCTCATACATGAGCATCGCAAAACCTTTTCCGGGCGATCAGGAGCGACGCGGTTGGCTGTTCAACCTTGGCTCTTGGGTGCAAGACGCTCAATGGGCGACGAACGAGGAATCCAACACCCAATATCTTGCTGTTGCCATCGAGCAGAGACCTACCAGCGGCGACCAGCCCAAGCCGCTGGAGCAGCCAAAAGCACCTGCATTCAATCCTACTGAGCCATTCCCTGCGTCTATTCAAATATGGTCGTTCGAGGCTGACGATGAAGGGGACTTGGATGCATCGAAAGAGCCGCAACTAGAGCTAGTCATCTGTACAGACTGGGGTGCGCCAAAACATCTCAGATGGTGCCCGGTAGCTGCTACAGACACGACTGAAGAGACAGACGACGCAAGTAGCAGGCATATAGGTATGCTTGCAGGTATCTGGTCCGATGGACGAGTGCGCGTCTTGGATATCTCCGCACCTCCCAAAGCCGATACTCACACTCCTACGTATCTTCATATTTCGCGTGCTGCATTCGAAGTTTCGTTTCCTCAAACAGTGCCCTCGTGCTTGCACTGGCTGTCGGGACATACACTCGCGGTTGCGACTGCAGCAGGAACTGTGGGTATCTGGTCTCTAAACCGCCCAGGCACACTGAGAACACCCGACGCCACACAACATAACCCCAGACCCTGGTTCTATCAGCAGTTGGCAGACACGTACATTCTCACAGTCTCTTCTGGATGGCCGTCCAACCCGCAGTTCTTGTCCATCAGCACCGCAGACGGTTTTGCGCGTCTCTTCGACCTGCGGAGCCCAAACGCCGACACTACTGCGTCGATACGAGGTCGCACACTTTGTCTGACGCAGGCATGGCATGAGCATACGCAATCCTTCGTCATGCCTGACGAACACTACATCCTGCGACATACGCCCATCCGTCGTTACTACCACAACCTCTACAGCATGCGATTAGAAAACAGCATTACACGCGTCGCGACAAGTCCAGTCCACCCTGGCGTTCTTATCGGCGGAGTCGACGGAGATATCCAAGCCAGCAACCCAATCATGCGCATCACAAACTACAAGATCATGCCATGGCAGCAAAAATGGTTTGTCCACGAGTGGCGAGGACCGATGGATCGAGTGCTAGCCAAGCCTACGACTGGTGAAGATGTCACCATGACCGAAGACGACACACCTGAATTGCAAGCCGGAGAACCAGCTGATGGAACCAAGAAGGTGCCACAAGAAGTACTCTCGCGACCTCTCGTCCGCATCACCGAAGGCTACAAGGCTGGTCAAACAGGTATCGCGCACAGCACATCTGCGAATGCGACGAAGAGAGGTAACCCAGAGGTGGGAAGGTCGATTAGTATCTTCGAAGAGCTGACTGCCATCACGGCGCTGGCTTGGAACCCGAATCTAAAGTTTGGGACGTGGGCTGTTGCGGGTATGGCGTCGGGATTGTTGCGCGTGGAGGATGTTGGTATCTAGGAGGCGGGAATCGAAGACGCTCCTAGTGTTAGTAGCTTATGGCATGGCGAAGACTTGCTGTGTGCTGCAGATCGACTTGGCGAATTCGAGACAAGTGCGCGCGGAACTTGATACAAAGTTATGTATTACATGCTTCATGATTTCATTGGTTCGTATCATAATCTTACTACAACATCTTCTAGTTGACAGCCTTCAACTTGCACATCAAAGGGTGCTTCTCCCAAAGAATGAATGTTTTCTGGTTACTCCAATCACTGCTCTCAGGGCAGAGTTCAATATCAAAGTTGTAGTAGACCTTGGAAGCAAGGAGGCGTATCTCGTGGTATGCCATACTAAGTTTACTGTTAGCTTGCTATGGTCTGTGTACGTATGCTAGAAATGAATATCGAGAGAGGGCTGTTGAACTTACTTCTTGCCAACACAATCCCTAGATCCAATAGAGAATGGCTGAACACACTGCCTCTCATCGCTCTCAAACTCGGGATCACCCATCCATCTCTGAGGAAGGAATTCCATTGGCCTCTTGAAGTTCTTGTCAGACAAGTACATGGCGTGTTGCGGGATCATGATGATGGTGCCGGGTGGTACGTATTGGCCGACAACAGTACTGCCGTCTTGCGGTGTGAGGCGCGGAAGTCCAAGAGGAACCGGGGGGTAGATACGGAACGCTTCCTTGATGCAAGCCGACAGGTAGGGCAATGCAGCGAGCTGCTCCATGGTCATGTCAGCGTCGCTGGCGAAAGCACTACGGATCTCATGGTTGAGCTTCGCCATGCAGTCCGGGTTGCGCAGGAGCAGGTATGTCAGGCCCGAAACGAGCGTAGCTGTTGTTTCCGTTCCGGCGATCATAAAGAGGGAAGCGTTCGCGTCCATTTCGCCTCGGGTCAGGCCTCGTCCTTCCTTTTGGCCCAGCACCAGATCCCATAGATCGACGCCCTCGGAATCGCGGCCTTTCTCAAGGCGCTTTGTCACGCGTGTTACAGAGTGGTTGAAGTGGTCCATCCGCTTCCGATTTACAGACTCGGGTACGTATCTCTTGAACGCACGCCATAGCCATGGATATGACATCATGACGGTGAAGTGAGATCCCATCTTGAGACTGGCAAAGATGATACGAACCCAGGGGTCGTATTCGGCGTTGTCGAGCATATGCAGTGGCTCTCCGAAAGTCAAGTCGCCCATGATATCGAAGGTGGTGAAGTTGTACATCCTGACCATGTCGAACTGCGCGGTTGGATTCTTTTCGATGGTGTTCTTCATGGAATATACAAGTTTGTCGACGTACTTGACGAAGAGGGGCTCTTGTTGTTTCAAGGCTCGGTCGGAGAATGCGGGCGTGAAGATCTTGCGTTGGCGACTGTGGTCTGGGTCGGGGGCAATGATGAGGCTGAGTTCCCGATTGGGTGTTGTGCCATACCTCATCCAGGCTTTTTGAGGAACATGTCCTGCCGTGCCTTTGGAACCATGGCCGTAGATCTGGAAGGTGGTTAGTCGATGTCGAAGATTACATTTGCTTTTTCGGGCACCTAAGAAGGTAGCGGGAGGTTCCAACTCGAACCTGGAACGTCGAGGGGGCGTTCAAGTATATCTATATCAAAGTATGCGAAACTTACATCTTTCCAAGAATTTGGATCTGTGAAACTCAGTTCATCGTGGTTGACACGAACGACATGCCCATACTTTTGGTGTAAGTCTTGGAAGAGTTTATCTCGTGTGCCTTTCCAGATAGCAATGTTATATGGGATGCGCGTCGCAGCGTAGAGTTTCGGTCCAGGAAAGTGTCGGAGGGGATGGAAGTATATGCGGTAGATGGCTCTAGCAATGAAGCGGAGAACCAGCTATGCCAAGTTAGCAGCTATTTTTCTGACGAGCTTCAGCGAATCTAGCAGTACTTACAAAACCGATCACAGAACCAATGATGTGCGGTATCGAGGCCATGGTGAAGACTTTCGTGATTCTCGAAGAACCGTTTGTTGATGTTGAAGACATGACGCTTGGAGTTCAGCCACCATATGATGATCTTGATGCAGGGCACGCGCAAGCTTTAAATACAGACGAGTACAAGCACTACATTCGTCGCACTAAAAGAAACGGAGTAGGTTGACGCGTGCCATGCCGAGACGGGACACAGCCAGCTCGCCTAGTACCGTTGACGTCGGTAGCCAGTAGCCAGGCACCCATTGTCAAGTGATCGGCTGGAGGAGCCCAAATGTCGCACCTAATGAGGCATTTGACGCGAGTCGACCATCCGTGGGGAGGGTATTTCCCACGCTCACCGTCCGGCTAATGAGGATCATTAAGCTCGTCCAGAACCCACTCCCTCGGAGGGTCGGCAATCAGGTCTGGCAGATCATTGTGCGGGTTGAGCACAGCCTAGTTTCGTACATCAGGGCGTAATATGACATGTGAAGCCTGCCAAATATGTTTCAGAGTGTGGCAGATTTCGATAGGACACTTTCGTCCGTGTAATGCTCACCGGCCGATCGCTCGGAGAATTGAGTTTATACGTTGCATACGATGCTGTGGGGAAGGCGGGCGATCAGCATGGGTACTATTCCGGACCTTCGAATCGCACTCGCATGCGCATTCGGACAAGCTCCCTGGCAGATCTGTACACCTAGTTAAAGACCATTCCCAAACTGCACATTTTGGATGTCGCTATCGGAGCCGAGTCGCAAGCAATGTTAGTAGCAGTCATCATCTCACCACACGACCTCGGGAATGCACAACCCCGAACGTACCTAGGTACACAGCCAAACCTATCCGCGGAAATGCCAAGCGCAAACGCGAAATCCAGAAGCAGTCGTAATCTGACCATGTGTAAAGCTAATGCGAATGATAATGATTCGCCCATGACCATAGTCGGTGAAATCCGCAAACAGCAATGCACCGCCATCATGTACGTAGACATGGCCCGTGCGGCTATCAGATCGTGACTTCGCGTTGAGGCGTTTCCGTCCCAAGGGCAACAAATCAACCCCACCTACCCTTGCACGTCACAATGGCAGCGACACCAGCACGCAGAGGCGTCTCCGCCCTGCTCTTCGCTTCGTCGTCATCAAGAACAATCGCCAATCGGATACAGCAGCGGGGCTTCACCTCGTCCCGCATCTTCGCCGCATACGCGACTGCACCCAGGCCAGCAGCGACGAGCACGACAAGCACAACCATTACCTCCACAGCTGCCAAGCCAGCCACTACAACGGCAACAGCGCCAAAAGCTGCGACCACAGCGACCCCACAGCGGACAGTACAACCGCAGTTTGTCGCCAAAGAACCGCCCATACCAACAACACGCAATGCCACGGCAGACAGCGCAGCTTCCGCAGCCCGCAAACAACGCTCCCTCACCGACGGACTATCCGATGCCCCGCCCGAGCTGGAAGGCGTACCAGCGATAGACTGGACACGGTCATACCACGGTCTCGGCTCTGTATCTTTCACACCAGAGCAAGGAGAATTGCTACTAGCACCTATCACACAGGATGACGTGGAAGTAAAGCCCGATGGTATCATATACTTGCCTGAGATCAAGTACAGACGAATATTGAACAAGGCATTTGGACCTGGAGGGTGGGGTCTCGCGCCGAGAGGCGAGAGTATTGTTACGGGCAAGTTGGTGACGAGGGAGTATGGACTTATTGTGCAGGGACGGTATGTCGCATTTCCCAGCTTGCGCTACCCGTTTGCATCTATACTAACGAACAATTCAGACTCGTCTCCATCGCCCGTGGCGAGCAACAATACTTCGACCCCGACGGCATCCCCACTGCGACCGAAGGCTGCAAATCGAATGCGCTGATGCGATGCTGCAAAGACCTGGGTATCGCGTCTGAACTCTGGGATCCGCGCTTCATTCGGGATTTTACGAATAAGATGACGAAGGAGGTGTGGGTGGAGCATGCGAGCACAAAGAAGAAGAGGAAGATTGTGCTGAGGAAGGACGATACTGCCAAGTATCCGTACAAGGAGGTGAAGTTGTAAGTGGGCTTGAGTAATGCCAGGAATCATATAGCTGGAAGAGAATAGACCCAATGTCAGGAAAATCAGGCATAGGACCTCACGCAAGCCAGACGTGGTTGTACACATAGGTTGTAACATCACCAGGACGACTAGTCCTACTCGTACTCATGAATTGGGATACCAAATATACACAGCTTCAGTGTACCTGTGAAGCCTAGTAGAATACCATCTACCATATTGCCCAAACGCCGTGGATCATCGCCATCATATCACAGATTTTGTCCTCCAGGGATTCTTCTAGCGATCGCCTAGATCAAAACCTGAAGCCCTGGATCTGTTCCTCACATCGCTTGGCTCCCTTCCATACGCCAGAGGGTCGTCCCGAGGCATTTCCTGACGCTGCCAGTTCCACGGCATCCAGCCACTGCTTGTCCTTCGACCGAGTGCGGGTGGTGTGAGGGGGTACGGTGGTCGGTCGGAGCCAGAACTCAGTTCGTCGCGCTCGATCCTATCGAATTCCGCTTCGCTCCTGTTACGGGAGAGGCTACCAGAGAGGCTTCCAGTACTCCTGTTGACTTCATGGTATCTGCTTCCGCCTGTTTGTTGTGTGCGGATGTTTTCTTGTTCGCGGTCGAATGCTTGCAGGAGGGTCTCGAGGCGCTGGCGTTGTGACGCAACGTAGTCGAGTCGGTCGTTGTTGTTGCGGATAGAATCTGGGACGAGGTTCCCGGCGCCGCGGCTCAGATCTGAGGCTTGCGCATCTCGAGTGCCTGCGCTACCGGCACCGTAAAGTGCACTGGCTCCGCTGAGTGCTTGGTTGACAAGTCCGTATAGATCGTTGCTGCCCCTCGCTGAAGGCATCTGGAACCTGCTCATAAGGTTTTGTGCGTACGTCTGTCCTTCAGGTCTTGGTGACTGCGGCTTTCCAGGTGCGAAGCCCAGCACGTTGACCTTGACCCACTCGATGCCCATCTCGACATATGCCATGCCTGCCGATTTAGCACGATCATGACTTTGTGTAATGAACTCGTCGATCT